ATTTAAAATTGATCCACAAATCGTACACTTAACACAAGCGGACTTAACCTTCAGGGTATTCTCTCTCAGTCGACCTTCGAGTGAATGAGATATATGATGCGGTAAGTGCACAGATAAAATATGAAATTAGATATCCACTTTTTTACTAATATTATTGCGAAAGTGTGTCTGTTTGTCTGTCACTCTTCACGCTTAAATTGCTGAGCGGATTTACATGATATTTATTAGAGAGATAATTTGAGTCCTTGGAAAGTATATAAGATAGTTTTTCCCCAGAAATCATCCTTTAAGGGGACTGATTAATCAAAGATAAATCTATATTGGGTATAATATATAGATGTCTATATCAATTACTAAATTTTTGTAGACACTAAATGAATTTAGTTTTAATTATTGCATTCGTCGAATAAAGCTGTCCGGCGAAAGAACCTGGCGATAACGAGGCATGAACTCAGCCGAACGTGATAGCTAAATAAATGAGGACGAAGTTTCGGCAGATTTTTGGTAGAAACCGAAACTATTATCGCAATATATTGTTTTGATTATAGCACCTGAAGCTATTCTAACACACGCCTAATATATTTATAATTATATATTATAACTCCTACGCAGCTACATTCACGCTATATACTCGTATATTAAAAAGCCTTTGCATCTAATTATATATATTCCTAGATCTTATCTAACTAATTGGTTAGTTGCGTAGTTCTACGAAGGATCAGTACTTCATTATGCCATCTCGCAATATGGAATAACACTGGCTACACAACTGTGTTGAAATAGAAATGGTACCCACTACCTTATAGGGAAAAAAATCGTAAATCGTAACTCGTACGAAATAGCAATTAGAACAAACAATTTGTGATTGAAAAACCAAATCATACTGTTCACACTGTGCTTTGAATCAAATGTACGTATGTGAAAACAAACATCCAACTGAAATGTAATGAAATATTTTTTGCTACCCCAATGTTTGTAATCCTATTATGAAATGTTATTCGATTAAAATAATATCCGCATGTCACAATTGTGAATTGCAAGTTACATGCGTAAGATCACGTGTTCCTGAAAGTAAATGTTTCAGCCTCCAAGGATATATGGTGGACCCTTTCGCGACGCCTGCGTCCCGCGCCTCAGCCGGCCGATATAAACACTGCACTTTTATCTCACATGCCGAGATTTTCATTGTACCACATCTAATGTAATGTACTGTTCCAAATTTTAAACTACATACATTTTTACTGTGAACTTGTGTAAGTGCCAGATTTATTTTAGGTCAAGAACTATAGCAAGAGATTATTAAGATTACATGGAAATGGTTCAAAACAGTGCCTTTTAAAATAAAGATAGTATAAAATAATATTACAAAAAAAAATCGGATTATTTCAGTGCAGTATTTTGTAGACGGCTTGAAATAGTTGGTGTTTGTAGAGTTTACGGTAGAGCGGCAGTGAGTAGAAAATTGCATTTTACTCTGTCAACATTTTAGGTAGCGGCGCGGACACCGCGCGGGCCGAGCGCAATGCCTTTGCGGGCGGCCCTCCCCCCGGCCTCACCCGCACCCTCCGTCCCACGCTCCACCGTGACCCACAGACCTAGTTTACAGCGTCTTTGCATGGACCTGACATACATACCAATTACTTTTTATCTCTTTCACAGCTATGTTCATGGCCATATCTTTCTAGCTGATATAATATTGCTACTCCATTACTTAGGGACAACCATCCTCAATACTTAGGACAAATGCTGTAAATTGTAATCTTTTCCTTACGCGCAGATTTACTCTGAGAACTAATGTTTTCAAATATTATCGGTTCGGGCACGATGCGAATGGAAGCCGCACCTGCGCGCCGAGTGAAATAAATGATACTTTGGTTGTTTTATTTTTAGAGAGAAGTTACTCGAGTCCCCAAACACTGGCAAACATCGAACAAGATGGAAGATTACAGACAAAGTTGGCGAAAGTCGCACACAATCCTGTTATGAGTGAGTATTTACTTATTGTTTGTTGTTTCTATTAAAAGAGAGAGAGAGAGAGAGGGAAAGAGACGGTAGGCATCTGGAGCTGATGAAACATCGGTGCGAGCTGCTCTGCATATTGGAGTGAACCCGTTCGGTGACGTCGTAGACTTGTTAAGGTATACAATTTTTTGACAATAAGTGCGCACTTTTGATGTTTATGGGACCATCTGCCGTAGCTCTCTTACCGTTTTGTTTATATTAGAACGAATAAAGGGAGTACAAGTCGCGCGCTGGCGTATTTCTCTAGAGACATTTAATATTTTGATTATAATGACGATAGGATAAGGGCGTTTATAAATGTGCGGTGGGTGTGTAATCAGCGCTGGTTGAGTGTGCGAAACGCGTGTGGATCGTCCCTCGGTGATATACGCGATTATGCTAATACTCCACCGACTGAGATGATTGTAGTCTGCCTCGTAATTGTATGAGTGATCGCCGTCTATGAAACGTGTAGTGGCGTGTAACAAACCTTGCGATTAGGTTTTATTAAAGTATTATTCCCCTAGATTCACTGATCATAGAATAGAATAAGCTTTATTGTACGCCAACCATATAATGATTGTAGATATAACAAAAAAATGTACAATAGGCGGCCTTATTGCTAAAACCAATCTTTACAGGCAACCAATAGTACACATGTACAAATCGACAGTACATGAAAGAAACAAGGGGAAGTATAGGTGTAGTGTGTAGTTTTAAAGTATTACATTAATATAGGCATACATATATATTAAGATGTACCTACAATATATACCATTACCATGTAATCAGATTAGTCATGTACAGCTTGATCAGAAGCAGTGATCTTTGACCATATTCTTAAATGCTGTCAGTGTTTGGGTGCGTCTAATGGATATCGGCAAGGCGTTCCATAACCAGACAGCCTGCACCGTAAAAGACTTGTCATAGAATATGGTAGAGTGACTGGGTACCATGAGCATCAAACATTCCGACGACTTTAGGGATCTCAGATGTGAGTCGCTAAGGAACACAAAATATTTCTTTCAGTAAGGTTGGGTAAATGGATTTAATAGGATATCATAAAGTATGGAAAGAATATGAGTAGATTTGGTGTTTAAATAAAACGTATTGCCTAAGGAATTGGTGGTACGCTATTGGAATATTTTTTTTGATCTCTCTGAGGAGATTTTCTTAAGGGATCTTTCGCAGGCCAGCTTGCTAACGTTTGTTTGTTTAAAAGATGTACATTTTTTCTGTCATTTCGGCATTGTCTTTTTATACTACAACATGTAAAATAAGCGTACCAATAGTTTTGTTTGCCGTTTGTAATTATCACAAACTTAATAATTGCAATGACCTATAAGTAGCTAATGTTTAGAGAATTAATAATAGTCAAGTTTCGTAAGCGGTGTCTAAGTTTACCACAAATTTAAGTTCACCTGTAGTCATGACTCGAGAGGCACGGTAGAAGGCAGGGAATGTTTTGATGTGTCTCATATTTCACTACGCTCGCAGGTAATTGTGAAGTCTCATCCCGGCTTACCTGCGGTACTCGTTATATGAACAAATTTAACAGATTTTTTCTGGCAATAAAATTGTGGTTTACCTGCTCGTAGATATTTTTATGTCTTGATGTTTTAATAAAAAGATGCTAAGTGAGATCGAGTCGAGTTACGACGCAGACGATACTTTTACTTTTCCCATCATTCAAATCTGTTTCATAAATGTCGGCCAAAAATGTATCAAACAGTTATTGTGCTCAAATTATATCACGTTATTTGATGGCGGTTCGCGGACAGGGGCGAGGGGGGAAGGCAGTGACTGCTGAGGGTCAGGGTGAGCGGTGGTAGCTCTACTCTGAGTGCGTGGAGGGGAGGGCAGATAAGGCTGTCCCGCTCGTCACCCAAACCCGTGGCCGATTACCGGCGCTAGCTGTAGTACACGCGCAGGAACCAATCTGCGGGATTGATGAGTGCGAGCCCCATTACACCGCTTTATAAAGTGATAAAAGTACATTAAGCGATAAGTTACGCTGCGTACTCCTCGTCACGCACACCGCGCCGCGCATTTATTTCACACACATGTCCATTTTTGCCTCCTTTTAAACTAACGGATCATTAATTTAACAGCTTCTAGTAGTCCGTGGGTTCGAATAGTAAGTAATTCGAGATTTGAAAGAAATTCAGATATATCTTATGACAATTATGTAATAGTAAAGGCTTCACACTTACATTCAACAAGTTTTAAAATCAATTATTCTTAGAATGCTTGTGGCGTGTGACAGTTTTAGTATAGTATTCACTCTAACATAGATCGCATTTATGCGTATATAGCATTTTTTTTTCCATCGCTTGCATTCAATCGTGTTTCTATGTTGTCGAATGCCACCGCCTATATCACAGGCGAGTGCCACCGCCATTATCCTGTGATATAGTTAGGTATTTTGTAATAAACTATATTAACAACACATAACTTTTTCTTATTGTTTATATCTCCTCTAGTCACTTATAACATTTTCCGTAAGAGAACTCAATTGTGAGTTAAGCTCGCCCTTGTGCGCGCCATAATTCTTTCTTACACTTTTCCTTTTTTTGTGTACAAAAGGAATAAATAAATAAAGAAAGAAAACGATTTGCAAAAATAAAGAGGTTCACCAAATAAAACGTAAATACTGAGCTAATCTTTTTTGAAAGCAAGGAGCTGTTCACAGAAAATACCCAACGCTATATCCGGATTTAATAGTAAAGGCAGATAGATTTTTGGATTATTATGGTATAATACAACCTACACTACATCAGTGAAATACAAAGTTCCACAAGTAAAGTGAAGGTTGTTTCTTTGTCTAAAGTAAATAAATCGGACCGTTTGAAAGTAAACATAAAACCCTCTAATCTGACTTAGTATATTTCGAGGCAGAGTCTTATTTCTTTAAGTTGATACAGCACAAGGTTACATCCGAAAGCGTTCGGTAGAAGAAAGCGATCGCGTATGATCGACACAGCAAAGCTTACTACAGCATGCCATCCAGTGCGTATCGTGGTACCGTTACACTTGTAGGTAGAATACTAAAGATCGCGTATGATCGACACAGCAAAGCTTACTACAGCATGCCATCCGGTGCGTATCGTGGTACCGTTACACTTGTAGGTAGAATACTAAAGATCGCGTATGATCGACACAGCAAATCTTACTACAGCATGCCATCCGGTGCGTATCGTGGTACCGTTACACTTGTAGGTAGAATACTAAAGATCGCGTATGATCGACACAGCAAATCTTACTACAGCATGCCATCCGGTGCGTATCGTGGTACCGTTACACTTGTAGGTAGAATACTAAAGATCGCGTATGATCGACACAGCAAATCTTACTACAGCATGCCATCCGGTGCGTATCGTGGTACCGTTACACTTGTAGGTAGAATACTAAAGATCGCGTATGATCGACACAGCAAATCTTACTACAGCATGCCATCCGGTGCGTATCGTGGTACCGTTACACTTGTAGGTAGAATACTAAAGATCGCGTATGATCGACACAGCAAATCTTACTACAGCATGCCATCCGGTGCGTATCGTGGTACCGTTACACTTGTAGGTAGAATACTAAAGATCGCGTATGATCGACACAGCAAATCTTACTACAGCATGCCATCCGGTGCGTATCGTGGTACCGTTACACTTGTAGGTAGAATACTAAAGATCGCGTATGATCGACACAGCAAATCTTACTACAGCATGCCATCCGGTGCGTATCGTGGTACCGTTACACTTGTAGGTAGAATACTAAAGATCGCGTATGATCGACACAGCAAATCTTACTACAGCATGCCATCCGGTGCGTATCGTGGTACCGTTACACTTGTAGGTAGAATACTAAAGATCGCGTATGATCGACACAGCAAATCTTACTACAGCATGCCATCCGGTGCGTATCGTGGTACCGTTACACTTGTAGGTAGAATACTAAAGATCGCGTATGATCGACACAGCAAATCTTACTACAGCATGCCATCCGGTGCGTATCGTGGTACAGTGGTAGAGAATACATTTAAAAAAATATATTTTTGATAAAACTTTTGATAGAAGGAATCTGACCACAGCAAGTCGGGAAGTCGTTGCTTCGAAGCCGGCAGTCTTTCCGGAAGTGGAAAGCTTCTATGGCCGGTTTATGCTTCGCATACCGAAGACCTACCAGAAGTCAGCATTGACCAAATCGAGATGGCTCTTAAACAGCTGCAAAATGGAAAAGCCCCTGGACAGGATGGCGTTACAACAGAACTGCTAAAGACTGGAGGTAAACCCGTACTGAGCGAGCTCCAAAAGCTTTTTGAAGGGAGAACTCCGGAGGCGTGGAGTAGAAGTGTGTCTGTCCTGTTCTTCAAAAAGGGTAACAAGACCATGTTAAAGAACTATCGACCCATTTCAATTCTAAACGTCGTCTACAAGCTTCAAGAGTCATCACGAACCGTCTGGCGCGAACACTCGACGAATTTCAACCACCGGAGTAAGCCGGGTTTCAGAGCGTATATGGATGGACCACATCTACACAGTGCGGCTAATTATACAGAAGACTGAAGAGTATAATCAGCCCCTGTGTCTAGCATTCGTGGACTATGAGAAGGCCTTTGACTCGATCGAAATCTGGTCTGTTCTGAGAACCCTGCAGCGTTGCCAAGCAGATTGGATATATATCCAAGTGATGAAATGTTTCTCCGAAGCCGTCATCATGTCCATAGATACGCGTATACGCGGTTTATAAAATTTGACAATTAACCGATGTAGAAACAACTAGTATGGTGTATTTTAGCTATTTTAATAGTGTAATGTCAGATGGCATTTTGTTGTAGGAAAGTGCTGCTAATCCTCAAAGTATCTTTGTGTTGCAAAAGAGAGCTATTTGTGCAAGCTATATTATCTCAGTTATAGGCAGTCATTGAGGGATAAGTTAAAAGAAATTGGTATCATAACAGTCGCATCTCAGTACATTTATGAAAATTTAGTGTATGTAAAGGAAAATATTCATTTATTCACAAAGTTTAGCGACATTCACCAAATAAACACTAGAAATAAAATAAACTCGTATTACCAACCACTAGACTACAAAAAGTTAGCAAGTCTTTTCGATGTCAAGGTGTGCGATTCAACGATAAAATTTCAAGTAAATTTCATGAACTTGTATTAACAAATTTAAGTCTTTAGTAAAACAAAAACTATGTAAAAACGCTTACTTCACGGTTACAGATTATTTACATGACAAATTTGCTGCTCACTCCCGCATTTACGTTACTACTACCTCATTGTTGTTTTATTTGAAAGTGAGGGGCATTTATTGTATTGTTGTATTTTATTTGTTTTCAATTTGTTTATTTTTATTGAATTTTAATTGTATAGGATTTTCTGTGTAAGTATGTAAATGTTAGTATAGTGTTGTAATGTTAGTTCATATTTAGTAACTTTCTGGTGGTTTTGAGTGTTTCAAATGTACTGCTGGCGGTAGTGTCGCGCTTCGGATTGTTGATCTTGACTAATATCGGTTAAGGGCCCATATGCCGCCGTATGGACACGCCGACTCAAAACTATGGTCATTTCCTCAAAAGGCCTACACAGACCCTACATTGTACTAGCACAGTTTTCTTTAATTTAGTTTACGGACTTAAAGAACATCTCCGTAATTTGTTTCGGCGAAATTGATCACGAATGCAGTGAAGGACATGTTCTAGACGCTGCACTGGGTAGGGCGTGGCATAAATATCAATGGCGAATACATATCTCACTTGCGATTTGCAGACGACATCGTTATCATGGCAGAGACGCTGCAGGACCTACAACAGATGCTGAATAACTTACCTGACTCTTCTGTACGCTTCGGCCTACGGATAAACTTGGATAAAACCAAGGTTGTGTTCACTGAACATTTGCTACCGGAACCGATTGCGGTACATGGTGACGCTCTCGAAGTTGTTCAAAAATATGTATAAAAATATGAGTACCTAGGTACAGGTACCCCAGACATTGCAGTAAGGTAGAAACAACTTCAAGGTTGAGGTGAATTAAAGAATTCAGTGGGTCGGGAAGCGTTTGGGAAGCTACCCAGTACGTCCTTTCCGCCATGACCACGGCGCCGAAACGTGGACCCTTACGGTACGACGGCTGGTCCACAAGCTAGAGGCGCTCAGCGTGCTATGGAAAGATTTTTGTTCGGAGTTTCTCTTAGGGATCGCATCAGGAATAGCCGATTAGCAAGCTGAAGTGGCAGTGGGCTGGTCATATTAACCGCAGAACCGACAACCGTTGGGGTAAACGAGTTTTTGAGTGAAGACCGCGTCTAGGCAAAGGTAGTGTAGGACACCCATACTAAAAAAAAAGGCCAGGTGGAGAGACGATCTGTGGAAGATAGTTGGCAGGAGCTGGATGCAGTGACATTCCTTATTTTTAATCCGTCACTACACGGACAATAAGACATTCGAGATAGAACAAATAAAGATGTTGTTGGGAGTCATTGCTTACATAAACTCCTACTCCAATACGTAAGACCAGTGAGCCCAACAAATTTGGTCGAAAGACAATGGGGCCCGTGGCAACTCTCACGAATCACGACCTTACCAGAGTTGAGGAGAATACAATCGTGGCGTGCCCTGCACTCGGTCTTTCCACTTTTTATATTCAATGAACCATTAGTCTGCTGAGGCTGGATCTGCTGCGCCTCTATCGTGAGACGCAGGTGTCTCGGTCGCTCTAATGCCTTCTTGCACCATCAAAGTTTGTTGGCCTATAAATGTTACAAAATACCTATTATTCATACATTACATAAACGATGCGAAGTAATAAATGTGCTATTTATTAAGCATCTCTTGTTGTTTTTTTAAGTCCCATTGTTGGAGTTTTAAAATATGGTTTATGTAAAAGACACTTTAAGCCGATGTTTAGGGACCAGACCGGATATATTGGTAATGTGTTTAATGTAGAAAATGCACCCTTTAAAGCCTTGATTACAATACATAGCCTTCTTTTATATCTCAGCTCTAAGTGGGTTAAATTGTGCGCGCAGCTCTTTAACGTCGTTAAAATCGTTCTCATGCAAGTGGGCAGGAGCAGGGCTCAAAATGAATGTTTACTAGCTGTAACATAGTTTAATTTCTAAAAGTGGGCTGACTTGAAGCTGAGCGATCTGGTTGTAAAATATTGGCAGCGGAGAGTTTCATAACTTAACTGCCAATACTTGGCAACCACACTTAGGTATCGATGGTAATTTTTAATATAAATGAAATTCATAAATCCTGTGTGATAAACAAAGGTTTTCTGTATATTTTGTAGAAATAAATAAATATGGTATTTGTTTTTGTATTATCTGTTTACATTACGCTAAGTATTTGCACAAAATGGACAAAGGAGAAGTAAAGAAGAAACACGTTAATTAATTTATTACACTATTGATAAATATTTTTACTTCTACCAAACTGCAGATCAGTTTGTTAGCCTCCTCTAAAGTATGTTGAGATTGTTAAGGCACAACGATTGTACGAAAATGAAATTTCAGCAAGTATTTCTGTTATTATAATTTGTTGGTTGTGAAGGGAATACGTGAATAGTTATTCTTCAAGGGTTACATTAGTTCCTTTTTATATTTGATCCGTAACTTCTTAGCTAGTTTCAGTGTTTTGACAGATCAGCGAAACAAATATGTAAAGCTTATATGCGGCAAAATATTTTCTTCCTTTCTCCGAGCCTTTTTACCAAACTATGTTGGGGTGGACTTTAAGTCGTAAATTTCGATTTTTACGCGGAGCGACTGCCATCAGACCTTCTATAAAAAGACTGTAGTCGGACTGTTCAGGGCTCCTACCCTACTACATGTAACGATTGCCACAGATGTTACACTAAAATAAAAAAAAAAACGAATGTGATGATAAAAACGATAACATGATTCAATAATCCCAGTTTTGTATTATACTATTCTAATCCTTTAGAAACAGGTCTGTGTGGTAATGGATGAGGAATACGGAGTGTCACCACCCCTATTCATCGCTTGGGTGTCGCAAGAGCCGACTAAGGGAGTAAACTACGCAGAACAACAGCACTGCAAAGAGAAAGTAAAATTGACACAAACAATATTCCCAGCCAGTTTGGTATGGTAGGCCTTTCTAAGGAGAGCTCTATGTCCAGCTATTAAAAGCTGTTGATGATGAAATTCTAATCCTAATATATCCTAGTATATTATCATGAAATTTCTAATTTCAGAAAAAGCATTTAATGGCCGTATATGGTATAAGAGGATGAGCGAAATACTTATACAACAAATACAGATCGGTTGGTCGGACTCAACGTCGCACTGAGCTTCACCTGTTACAATAATACTCGTAGATGACGCTGACATTTTTTTTCTGATCTGCAATTAAGTTTTCAGTTAAGTGGGTGAATATTCGTACTTTTAATTCTTTACGTTTCTGCATCATTCACCTCCTGCAGAAATTTAATTAAATTCACCATTGGTAATAGTTCATATAATGACAGGAATGGAAATATATATAGTAAATATATATTTTATCTTTTCAAATACAAGTATGTTGTGGATATTGACGCAGAAATAAAAAGAGAGAAGAATCACTCTAATATTAAATTTTTACTAAGAACTCGTGTTTAAAGACATGCATAACATATGCACATGACGTATGTATGATGTGTGTGATATATGAAAGGAGGTTGATAAATGAAGCACATGTACTAATTTTTTTGAGGGTTTCGAATTAACAAAATCTGTAGTTTGTCTTAGTTTATATCAAGGAACGTAGACGTGAAGTAGTACTCGTAAGCATACTTCCCCTTTCTAATACATAGTTAGTCATTGCAATAATCATGAGGTTATCTTTCTGTCCTGTTTTATTTGGGGTCGGCGGAATGGCTGGTCGCCCGCTCAACGCTTACGCTTCGAGAATGTAATTGTTTCCAGACGAGACTAAGGAAGAAGATAAATGAACGCAAACGGAGATAGCGAGGAATCCAGGGTAAAAAATACCGCGCGTCTCGGATGACAAAATACACAGCCCGTTTCAGACTTACTTTCTAGATTG